TTTTTTTTTTTTTTTTTTTTCTAAGAGACATGTCAAAAATTCGCACTTGGATGAGGGGAGAGGTGTTAAGATTATTAAAAGCGTACTTTTTGTCCTATAGAATAAACGTACATACATATACGTATATATTAATTGCCATTGTATGTTTTATAGCAATGACGACGATTAACAATGAAAAATCGATCGATCGTTCGTTCATTCGTTCATCATTTTACGAAATATTTCGAAAGATTTTCCTTTTGTCTTTTTTTTTTTTGCGTCTTTTTCCTTTTTTTTTTTTGCACGAGAAATTAATTTTTTTCTCTCTTTCCTTTTCTTTTTTTTTTTTTTTCCCCCTAAACGAACGCTCGATTTGCGATCAGAAAGGAAAGGAAGAAAAAAAAAAAAAGGTAAGAAGAAAGAATAAAAAATAAAGTAAATAAATAAAAACAATAACAAAAAGGAAAATAAATCGGTACGAGAAAAGTGGATTTCCTGAGAAAGAGTTCGTAGGTAACGACAAAGACGACCCGACGTTTTCGTTAAATCGCACGACCCTTTTCTTCATCTTTTTTTCTTTTTTTTTTTTTTTTTAATTCTCTTTCTTTGTATTTTCTTCTTTATCTCCTTCCCTTTTTTTGGTTTTCCTCCTTCTCCCTCCCCGCCCCTCCTTTTTTTCCCTTTCTTTACTCATCGACTTATACTCTCAGACACCATTTATTACTTTCGATTAGTGTTGTCATTTCCATCCTCATTCCTCGTCTCTTTTCTCTTGTCGCTTTTTAATTTCTTTTTTCTTTTTTCTCTCCCGTTCTTCTTTTTCTTCTTTTTTTTTCTTTTTTTATTTTCTTTCTTATTTTGTCTTTTTTTTTTTTTTCTTTTTTTTTCTTTTTTGTTTTTTAACGTCGAGATGCTATGTAAAGTGTGCGTGTTATAAAATGGCGAGGCAATAAAACGTGGTGGACCCACTTTTGTTCATGTTCATGTTTGTCACTTTGTAGTTGTTGTTGTTAATGTTGTTTTTTGTTTTGTTTTGTTTGTTCGTTTGTTTGTTTATTTGTTGTTGTTATTATTGTTGTCATTCTTGTTGTCTGAACAAGACTTTTGCGATTTTTTTTTGCAATTTGAAAAGGAAGTTCCGTAAAACGTGCAAGATATTAACGATATTATCTAACACGTGATAACGAATATCGAACGAGAATGAAAATTCTTCTAAATTCTATTATATTTCTTTTGGGGGGTATTATCACCCACCCGTTAACCCCTGCATCCTATCCATCTTTTTTTTTTTTTCGTCATTAGAAGAATTCTCCCCACTCTCTCTCTCTCTCTGTCCTACCACCACAACCACCACCACCACCATCACCACTACCATTACCACCATCACCACCGCCGCTTCTACCCGACCTACCCTCTTTTTTTTTTTGTCAGTGTTCGATTAGTAAAGACGCGATTATTAATGATCTAATAGATGAATCATCATCATCATCATCATCATTATCATCGTTATCATCATTATCATCATTATCGTCATCATCATCGTTCATTGTCTTCGATCAGTTCTATCAAACGAAGGCAAACGTTTATCGTGGAAGCTTCGTCATTTAGAAATTTAAGATTAGAGGGAATTGGAGATTAGAAAAGATATTAGAGATATTTAAATCTCCTTTTCTCTTTATCCTTCTCCTCTGTTGTTTTCCTTTTTTTTTGTTATTCTTTTTTTTTCTCTTTATTTCTTTTTCTTTTTTTTTTTTTATTCTTTCTATTTCTGATTCTTTCGTTTCTTTTTTCTTGTTTTTCTTTTGTTTTCTCTCTCTCTCTCTCTCTCTCTCTCTCTCTCTCTCTCTCTCTCTCTCTCTCTCTTCGACTTTTTCTAACCTGCGGACTAAGATATTGGACGAATCATGATACGTAAGGAGAATCACAATACCGATGGAGAAGCGTTATTTTAAAATATTATATAATGAAAATATTCGTTAAATATGACGAAACGATCGGTTCCGAATGTTTTTTTTATTTGTTTGTTTTATTTGTTCGTTCGTTTGTTTATATGTTTGTTTGTTCTCTTTCTCCTCTCTCTCTCTCTCTCTCTCTCTCTCTCTCTCTCTCTCTTTCTGTTTCTTTCTTTCTTTCTCTCTCTCTTTTTCTCTTTTTGTCTCTCTTCACGGAAGACTCTATCTATAATTATTTGAAATGTGTTAGTTAACTCTCCTATGTGTCTTTTTTTCTTTACGTGTTTATTATTTATTTATTTATTTATTTATTATTATTTTTATTATTATTATTATTATTACTATTTATTACTATTTATCATTATTATTATTATTATTATTATTATTATTATTATTATTATTATTAATATTATTATTATTATTATTATTATTATTATTATTATTATTATTATTATTATTATTATTATTATTTATCATTGCACAATTCGTTTCTCTGTATTCGAGGAAGAGAAAAGAAAAAAGAAAAGTACAAAAGGTACACAATAAGAAAAGAATTTTTTCTTTTTTTT